TTCTTTCCATCTTTATTTTCTCCTGTGTGGAGATGGGTCTTTTGGACAGGGACTCCTCCCTCATTCTTTCCCTGCTTCTCTACTCAATGGGCCGCCTCCCTGAGTACAAGGACTTGGAATGTCTAGTACCAGGCAACTGCTCTGAAATCATCCAATGGGCCCAAAAGATGTAAATTGGTAAGTAGCCATGTTCCTGTCTGTTTTATGCACTATCCAAGACCAACCAGCAAGCAAGGAGCAGAATGCTCACTTCACACGGCAGTGGAATTAATGGTGTAGAAATGGCTGCTGCTATATTTGCCCCCTGGGGCTTCCAGAGATATTGTGTCTAGCACAAATGAAATACCAGCAAGAATGCTTGCTAATATGGAGGCCTTCCTCATGTCCTTCCTGTGGCAGACTATAACTTCAACGTTACTTAACCAATAAAAATAGAATTCTATTTCTTGAAAAGATTTCAGCAGTCTTTTCAGAAGTTCCTTTTGCTGGATAAATACTTACCGTAGGAAGGTTTTTACTGAGAATATCTGAGATGCTGCAAAGTTTTTCAAAGTAAAGGGAATGAAAGAGAAGTGTGTAATGAAATAAATTGATCAACTACTATATGTGCATATTTTTTTCTTTTTATGAGATCGAGAGAGAGCAGGGATCTTTTCTGAAGGATTTCTCCTTTTTAGGTACTATGACTGAAAAATATTTTACATTAGATTTCCATCACCTATATGAGTATTTATTTGTAAATAATTACTGCAAGTTGAATAATTACCCTCCAAATTTTTGTACAGTCCTATCCAAAACTGTCTGGAGTCTGCTGCAAATGCATCCAAGTGGTGCATGAGAAAATTCATTTCAGCTGTATTTTCTATGGAAACCAAAGAAGCTCCTGAAAAATATAAATTAATTCACAAGCATAATTTAAACCACAGAAAATGATCTGCACCTTCATGCTGACAATTCCTTATCCTTTCTGATATATTTAAAATAGCCAGAGACTGTAATTACCATAATTTTTGCCACAGAAGTCAATGTCACTTCCCGAAACAGATCAGTAACAGCCCTTATGTTTCTCTCTAGAGCAAAGCATCCTTTTCTTTGAGCTGCTATTCTGGTTATTTTCAGGAAATACAGCATATTTGGCAAATGTGTTACAAAATATGTATTTGTGTGCTCCATTTTTACATATAAACCTACTGTTTAATGTGCCAGAGACAATACAATTGAAAATGCAGCATTTTAAAAAAATATTCCCTCTTGCACTAGGGATGAAAGAACAAGAAAGAAGAGAGAAGCTGTTTGGGGAAATAAGAAATATCATTATGGGCCAGGTAAGAGGATGATTTTATTACCACCTTCATCCCAAGACATCAGTAACCTGGAGGCAAAAAAAAGCAGATGTCTCTTTATTTCATGCCCACAGAGTCTGGTGTGAGAGTAGGTCTAGCCAATTTCACTTCTAATAGATGCTATTAGATTGACAAGTGAAGAATGAAGTTCTTTGTTAAGCTAGAGAACAGATATTGGCAAAAACATTTTAAGCACCAATAGACGCTTCCCAAAATTTTTCCCTGTAGGGTTCCTCAATACTGACCCCCTGTTGTATTAATGTAGATGGAATAAGTGGGGCCTAAAAGTCAAACCTATGAACATGATCATATCTTTGACCAACATTAAACAAGGTTTAGTATACAGAGTCCTTGGACTCCTTCATACCTTGGTAAACACATCATTAAAATACTGTTAACCATTTATTAAAGGTAAAGAAAACAAGGTGGGCTGTTAAAGCATATGAAATGGGAAGTATTAAGTAAGTGTTTCATTTTAACAGTATCCCATGGTCCCTTTCCCCTTAGTTGGAAAGATCTTTTAAAAAGAACTTCCCTTCCCCATCATCTGACAATCTCTTAGAATCTGGAATTAAAATTGGGAATAACATCTTTTTGTGGAAAAATGTTAGTTGAAATGAGTTGATCTGTTGGTGGTGTTGTTAACATTTAATCCCATTTTATAGAAGACAGAACAAAAGGGAAAGGGAAGAACAGCTAAAATAGAAAATATGGTATATGTATCTCAGGTTGAGTCTCACTTGCAGCCTTATTACTGAAAAAATACAGGTACTGCACAATGTCTTATTAGTCATTCTGAGACCTGGCAAATTTTGTACCACTATTGGGCTGCCTAGAGCATGGCTTATAGCAATGTTCCAAAATATAAAGTCTTAACTGACTAAGCTAGTCTCTTTCTAAGCAGACGGATGGGCAGGAGGGAGGAAGGGGAAGAAATAAAGTAGAAGGAAAAGGACACATGGGGTATGGAAATACAGTTTCACATCCCAGATCATGGTTGAGATTTCACTAAAGCTGGCCAAAGGGACCCTGGGTCAGCTGAGTCCCTCTGCCTGACGTTGTCTGGTGAAGACAATGTCAGGATATCGAAGATACAATGGTGGCTCAATAAGGATCCCAGGAGATGATGAGGCTGGCAGCCATTAATGAAATATTTGCTGTTTCTCCTTCTTTTATTTTTCAGTGATCCAGCATCATGGTAGCCAGCTTTTCCCAAAAAACAATTTTTTGAGGACTGCATAAGGAAATGCAACCCACATACCTACTGGATGTGATTCACTGTCCCATATAGTGGCACTTAGACCACATACAGAGACAGAGACCGACAGAGAAGGAGAGAGTGTGAGAGAGAAAACTACTAATTTGAGACTATCGACTCATTTCATATAGCCAAAACCCACAGTTTTATAGGGCCTAATTGCCAAGTCACCTTTTCTTGAAGTGCTCAGTTCGTTAGGGCTTTACCAGAGCAAAATACAGTAACCTCTCTCATTTTGGTACAGACCAGGAACTCCTTTTATAGTCATTAAATTGTAATACGTAAAAGGTAATCAAAAGGATCCATAATACATTTGCTTTTCCCCAGGTACTTGGGAAAAGGATAAAGGGGGCTTCAGAGGGAAAATACTGTTTTGTTTGCTTTATCCTTTGCTGTATAGTTTCACAGCTTTCTAAAAGGCAAGAAAGGGCTTTCTTTAATTCCAGCTTCCCCATCCAAACTCTTTCTTACCCTCTGACTTCCCAATAGTGTTCCCCCATCCCTGTTCTTCACTTTGAAGATATGATCAAGCTGTTGAGGGGCAGATAGCAGTAGTTGTTGCCCTAAATAAGTGGTGAGCCTGCAGGAAGCTGTTAGAGTCTAATAAAAGAGGACACTCACCTAATCGAAAACATTCCATGGAAGACTGGGGCCAACTTTCCGAAGACGAGGACTCAATGTAGTAACAGTGACCATGGAAGGGAATCCAAGATTTGCGTATGTCAGATACAGGACATTTTCCGGAGAGCTGTGGAGGATCAGTAGGGGCTACAACTGATGAGAAGCCATGTATGAAGTCAATAAGGGCTTCTCAGATATATTACTGAAGACACACCTGTACTGTACCATAGCCAGCCACTACTAATTTGACTATGATACCATGAAAAAGAACCTGAGACGTTCATGGTTCACAATAAACTCATTTCTCTGTCAGATCATCTACTCTGCTGCACTGACTTTAACTGAGGCCTGGTCTACACTATCCAGCTAGATCAATGCAAGACATCCTATGCTGACCTACTTATATCAGTGTTTATACTACAGCCTTGTACCACAGATGTACATGCCCTACTACAGTGACATAGCTCCAGTGCCATGAAAGGGGTAGAGCTTATGTCAGTGTAGCTGCAGGAGGATCAGTTTATTTTAGAAGGGTCACAGTATTGCCTCCCTTACCTCTGTGCTGACTTCAGAGTTTGGCAGCTGGATAGTAGTTACTGTTGGTTTGGTTTCCAGATCTGAAAGCAGTGTGCCACCAGCAACAGCACAGATGCAAGGACTGCAATACAATACAATGTAACTCTTTCTTCTGCGCTGCTGCCTTCAAAGCTGGGCTGCTCACTGGGGGCTCAGCTCTTCAGGTAGCAGCACAAAAGTGATGGAAGCTATCCCATCCCATGCCATCCTTACACTGCGCTGCTGCTGGCAGTGGCTCTGCTTTCAAAGCCAATCTCCAAGCCCTCTCCCTTGCAAACTCCTCCATCCCCACAAGTATTTTTGGGGTCAGGTCCCCCACAATTACTACAAATTATAAAATTCAGATTTAAATTGCTGAAATCATGACTATGCAATTGGCCATAATCGATGGTGAACTTGGTATGGGCTCCAATTGCATACTTCCAATTCCCATTGAGGTGTATGGTTGGGTGGTCAATTTATAATTCTGGTCTCTGCCAATCTGAGCTTCTACTGTAGTCAAAATCAAGACCTGAATGCATTTAAACTTGAAGCTCTCTAATTAAAATAGCTAAACTCAGTTCTACTTACCATCAGACCTTTTGCAGATAGATAAATATTTTTCATCACAAGACCCTGTTTTCCAGGTCCCATCAACATCTAAATAAACACAGGCTAAGTTCTGTTTTGGCTCATCACTGGCCCACTTAGAGTACTTGACTCTCCATTTGTCAGTCCACATGTAAAAGCCATTAGTCTAAAAACAGAAGGCGATTAAGATAATATGGCATTTTAAAAAAACTATCTTTATGCAAGAGCATTTTAAAAGCTCACTAAGTCATGTGCTCAAATGTTAGAAATACATTTGTCTATAGAATCTAGTCAGCCCCCTTGGGTATATAGAGTATGATTTTATTTAATTACATGATCACATATATTTTTCTACAGGATGCCTGCCTCAGTTCCAGAAATGGATAGTGTTCACTGAATGAACACTTATTCAGTATTAGATTTTATCCCTGTTGTTCAATATACATCCTAAGCCTTATTGGGGGCACACAATTCAAATCCTGCTTTAAAAACAGAATCATTCATTTCCTAGTGCGATATTTTATGGTGCTCATAAGGATAGTACCTGCGTTCTTCTCAAACTTTAATTCCTATTTGACAGAAGAAGAACTGATGAACTAAGACATTAATATCAAAATTGTCCTTTACTTTTGATTGCCCCTTGAGACACACGTATGACCTGATTTGTCAGATAACTTAGCCTTATTGAGCTCTTTGTACATTTAGATCACACATGTCATTGACTTCAGCTGAAGTTGTGAGTGATAAGCACTTCTGCCAAATAGGCTCCAAATACAATAAATTGAGCCTACAGAAAACAGGCACACACAATAAGGCCATTTCTACACTGAGATGCTATGGAAAGTGATGGCAAATCATCCAAAGGTGTGATGTTAACATGCATAAGATAATGCACATTAAACTCCCACATGAATGCAAAAAGGAGTATTGCATTACACTGAACTAAGATCACTTTATTCCTGAGTGAGAGCATCTACAGGTGGGTTTAATGCACTTTAACTTGTGCACATTGATTTCACACCTTTAGTTGATTTGCCTTAACTTTCCTTAGTTTCCCTGCATTTCACAGTGATCACCTGTGAAAATGTTAAGTTAGTGACTTGCCAGCATCACACAGGAAGTCTGGGGCAGAGACAAAATCCATTCTCCAAGGAAGAATACTATTGCCCAACCATGGAACTACACACTTTCCAGCTCATGCAACAGATGCCTCAGCAGTTCTGCAGACAACAGCCCCCTTTGCTGCACGGCCCCAAGTCACTCAATGAGCATTCTTCAGCCTATGCACTAAATGAAGCAGACACCTCTAAAAAAATAGTGTGTGATCACGATTCAAGACAATAACCATAATACACTGGTGCAAACATCTAAACTAAGGTTGCACAAGCAATATTCTTAACATTCATTTAACATAGTTTTTTAGATGTATTTTCCTAGTTTTCTGTTTGTTTAAAGCAAACTGAAAAAACAGATTCCACCATGTGGAATCCCACTGACTCCCACGGGTCTTACAATTAGGGCTAGAACCTTTAGATTTATAGCACAGAGCTCTGTCACTTAAAATAACTGTGGCTATTAGGAGTTCAGTTATCCTCTCCCAGGCCACCATAACAGGGAGAAGAGACCTATGTCAGTCAATTTTGCCAGTGTTTGCTGACAGAAGAACGTTGAGGCTCAAGAGGCTCCAGCGCCCATTCTTTCCAACTCTTTGTCCCAATCCACCACACCCCATCCGTTTCTTTGTCCCACTCTCTAGGCTCAGCACCTAAGTCTTATGCATGCCAGCTAAGCTTCCTCCTGCTCCTCCTCTTCACTGCCAAACAAGCAAAAAGAGCACAAGAAAGGCTGAGTCCCTGCTCATGGCTTCTGCACTTGGTATCTCATTGGCCCTGGCTGGCATGGGGAGGCTTTTCTTTTTCTCTGCAGCCTTGGCCTGGAGCACATGTAAGTGTTCTCTGAAGAAGGTCTGATACAAGCTCAGCCT